ACTAAACACTTCTTCTTTCTAGAGATGTTCATGGAAATCTCAGTGTAAGATGCTACTTTTTTGCAGATTTTCTGAAGAAATGCGAAACGCCGTTGGCACCACACAGGAGGGGCTCACCGAATTTCTTCAGCAGCACCCATCCCTCTTCACCCTTGAGGGAGATCAGGTACTGCGCTTTTCCCCTATCATTTTTTTTTGATTATTGTTTGTTTGTAGGTGATATTGAATGGATTCGGTGATATAACAGCCAAGAACAATCCCCTTCTACAATCCGCATCTCGTAATCGCGACTATGAAAAAGAGGCTGTGGAGTTCTTTGTCATGAAGCTTACAAAATTCGGACCGGAATTGCAGGTGAATCTTTTATTTTTTGGTTTGCTACCAAATCAGCTGAATGAGTAGCGTAATATGATAATTGCTGCTCGATCTTAGTTAGCTGTCCATAACTGCACTCAATTGAGGCGTTGCATGTTATAGATTGAACGAGAAAATTATTTTCATACTTCCTTTAGCTTGATCAAATCTGAGGCTTGGGTAAATTCAAAATCTCCAGACATTCTATTCTATCCACTAATTAACTCTCAAATTGTCAAGGGTGGTCTACACTTCCTTTAACTGCAATCTATTCTGTTATGTAGTCCTTTTTGCGTAGCAGCAACGCAGCCGCAAAGCGAGGACCTTACTTGCGGCCTATCGATAAAACCAATGTGAATGTTCAAATAGCGCGCACGCTGATGTGGCGCGGAGTTCCAGCGTAGCGGTTGCGTCGACGGAACAGGGGCGCAATTGAGAGAGACTTACACTTTGCGAAAGGAGTATGGGCAATCTCAATTTTCGCTATTAAGTTGTTAGAGGATTCTGAGAAATTTTTCAAAATTTTATAATGGCACTGGCTTCTACAAGATCTCTTCGACGTTCTATCGTTTTCAACAAGTTTTTTGCTATGCATTTTAAATTGGCTTGTATGAAAAATATTAGGTTGTCTCAAAAGTAAACTCCATTTTTTCGGATTTTT